GTGCTATTTAACATCTAAAACTCCCATGGAGGCATACCACATCAGTTTGTTTACATTGTTTATTGAAAATGTATAGCTTGGTGGCTTGCGTCTGATTTAATCAGTGGGAATATAAAAGACCCTTCAAAAAACTTTTGCCTTGGCTCCTCGGACAAAGGTATCTTGCATGTATCGTGATGGTTCACAACTCAAAAATGAAGCAGATCCTATACAACTGAGAAAAGGCCCTGGAAGCTCCACTGGAAATGTGGATCTCCATGTGTGTGCCTCTGCCTGCTTTCTCGTGCTGAAAGAAAGCCTTATGTGGCTGTGCCCTGTGAAGTCTTGTGAGTGTTGTCAATTATCTGACTCTGTGTAATTGTTGTAGCCATAAACAAAACAGAATAAAAAGCTCTTGCCCCTGTGGTGCTTCCATGGTAAAGAAAAAGACAGGCGATAAGCAAAATGGATTGGCAGAATGTTATGTATGTAACATAAATGTTGTGAAGAACAACAAAGGTGGAAAGAGGCATAAGGAGGTCCAAGCAGGAAAAGGCCCTGCTGAGGTGATATTTAAGCAAAGACATGAAGAGTGAGGGAATGTGCAGGCAGATACTTGGGTAAAAATCATTGCAGGCATGGACGGCACCTGTGGCTCAAAGTAGGGCACTGACCCCATATGCCAGAGGTGGCAGGTTCAAACCCAGCCCTGGCCAAAAACTGCAAAATAAATAAATAAATAAAGTAAAATAAAATAAAAAATCATTGCAAGGAGAGAAAACAAACAGCAAAGGTGCTCTAGCTGGGAGGAAGCCAGGAGAAAGCTGGGAAACTAACATAGCTGGAGTAGGACAAAGAAGGAGGAAAAGCAATGGGAGACGAACTCAGCAATAATGTGGCATCGAATCAAATGGGGTGGTTTAGGCCACTTCCAAGACTTAAGTAGAATGAGATGGAAAGCCACTGGATACCAGAAAAGTGGCTTATCCTGAGTTGCATTTAAAGGCCTGGTACAGAGGCTCCTGCCTATAATCCTAGCACTCTAGGAGGCCAACGCGGGTGGATCACTTGAGCTCATGAGTTCAAGACCAGCCAGAGCAAGAGCAAGACCCCATCTCTACTAAAAATAGAAAAAAGGCAGGCATTGTGATAGGCACCTGTAGTTCCAGCTACTTGGGAGGCTGAGGGAAGAGAATCTGAACCCAGGAGTTTGAGGTTGCTGTGAGCTATGACACCATAGCACTCTACCAAAGGCAACAAAATGAGACTGTCTCAAAAATAAAATAATAAAATAAGACAAAATAAAATAAAGGCCTCCTTCTGGAAGCTGTGCTAAGAATGGATGCTGGTTAGGCAAAAGTAGAAGTGGGAAGACTGGCTAGGAAAATTGTCCAAACAAGAGATGATGGTAGCTTGGACATAGCAGTGCTGGTGATAAAAAGTGGGTGGACTCTGGATATATTTTGAAGGTAAAGGTGACAGACTAATACGTAAGATCCAAAACACAGAGAGGGGAATAAAAGACAGGTGAATTAAAACAGGATTCCAAGTGCCTACTGAAGAGTTCTGCCTGAATGTTTGATATGCCTCCAAACTTAACCAAGCTCATCACCTTCACTATCAGACCTGTTCCTCCTCTTGTATTCTCTATGTCAGGGGCATGTAACCTCTGGCCAGTCACCCAATCTCCCTACTTGAAGGCTATCATTATCTTTTGTTTTCCTCAAAGTCCCCATATCAGTTCCCAAATCCTTTTAAAAATCTCCTTCAAGTTTGTCAAATTCTTTCCATTTCCAATGCTGTTCAGGCCCTTAACATGTCTTGCCTGGACTCCTAGGGTGGGGGAATAAAAAAGAAATTACTGAACATCTAGACGTTCAGCAGGCTACATGATTTATAGTGACTATTTTTTGTTTTGTTTGTTTGCTTTGTGGTTTTTTGGTGTTTTTTCGTGCCAAAACCTGGGATCGTACCATATAGTGACTATTTTTTAATCAAAATCTTCTTAATTGATCTACCTAATCCTAAACTTGCCATATTCCAATATATTTTCCAAGAGCAATTTCCAAATACAGATCTAATCATGTCATTCCATCGCTTCAATGGCTCTGAGCTTTTTACATGGTGATCCCTCTGTGTGGAGATATTGTTACATCGTCATTTCTTTCACATGATTGCTTCAATAACATCTATATATTTATCCAATAGAACATACCTCAAGAAAATCCTTAGGTGCATAAACAGGTCTGAAAAGGCTTAAATCTATAAGACAGATTAAAACAACATTTCAGTTAATAATAATATGTGAAGTCTTATTAATAATAAATGTTAGTGATTCTTTCATATGTTGCAATGCAGACAGATTAATGCAAACATATGATGAGTATTCATTATTTGTCATCATTAAGTATCAGGAACATAAAAATGATAAGAGAATCTCCCCTGACATATTCTAGAAGAAATTATGAGTATTCTACTCATAAATTATAATAAATTATAACTGAATTGACCAACGTCAATGTAATATAGAAGTTCTATGTGAGAATTCTCAAAGTACTTAGAATGCATTCTTAGTGAATTGTTCTAGTTGTATTAAATTAGCTAATTGTTCTAGCTGTATTCTTTCTTTTGAAACTCCAATAACCTGCTGCTTCCTCTACTATGGCACTTATATGTTAACCGGTACCTCATCCATTTTTTTTAGCAGAGGTAAAAGAGAGAAAAAGGTTACGCACATAGTATGTGTCTATGTGTTCAACTGTTGGGCATTCACCATAGTATATGAAATATCATTACTCATTATATGTTCATAAAATGGACAAGGTTTTAAATATTAAAATGAATCAAAATACAATTATAGAGTTTTGAAACTTATTTTTCACTATTTAACCTATTTTTAATAACTCAATGTAAATAAGCCAGCAAAATACAAGGTAGACATAAACTTCTCGTGCAATTTACTATGTTAAACTATTTCAAATTGCACGTGAACTTTATGTCTACTCTGTATTTATCTTAATTACAAGACAAGAGTTCAAAATCCACTGAACAAATTAAATTTACTCTTTCTAAAAATTTTCTAAAATTTTTCTTTTAAAAAGGATAAATGACTTAAGTGTTTTCAAAAGAATGGAAAACATAGACTAAAATTAGTAATTCTTAAACTACAAAATAGAAGGTCAAGCAAACAAAACAGATGATAGAAAATTAGTGGGAAGAGAAGTTGCCATCCTTCCAAAAGAATTATTAACTATGTTCTTTTGGATTCATAGTTAATAAGGCTATTCTTTTTCCACTATTACATTTCAAAAAAAGTTCTTCACATACCTGGTTCATCAGTTCCCATCTCATTCCATTTATTAAGAAGTTCTTTCTGTTCTCCAACTGGCCTCTAAAAAATGTAATTTTTAAATTGGTTTCATTTTTGAAGTTATAGCAATGCAGCTAAAAAAACAAGAATCAGTACCTTATTTAAAAGTAAACTGCCATTAAAGGAAAAATAATTTCATTAAATATGGTGAACTTTTTTGTGAGTCACACTTAAATTATTATTATTTAACTATTACATTATATCTAGTCTCAATGGCTCAGTTAGAATATGGTGCTAATGAGTCCAAGACAAGAAGGTAAATGATCTGTACTGGCCAGTAAATTTCACAAAGCCAAACTGCTCCTCAGCCACATACTACATCTCTTACCCCATCCAGCAATCTCAGAAATGCATCTCAAGGGGGACTGGCCAAGAGAGTGTGACTGAGGCAGTAGCATCATCTTCTATATGAAAGACAGTATAGTACACAATACTACATATTTAGACAGTTTTCATATATATTTATCCTTTTTTTTTTAACACCATCCTTCTGGTGGCTTCTGTGCTTTGTCCTTGGATGTTACCGAAAGTATATCCACTCTATTCTGTCCAACAGCAAGGAATAAATACAAGGTGAGGAGAATGAAGTGAAGGGAAACCAGTTCTTAACTACTCGTGGGCAGCTATAAAGAATCCAAAGCATTCCTCAAGTGTTTTTTCTTTCCTTTCCGTCTCTCCCGCCTCAGTGCCCCAGTGACAGATAAATATTGAGTATTAGATCCAAATAGAATTCCAATTCTACAGAGATGACAAATTATTCTTTTTGTTCCCTATGTTAATAGCAAAAGATGGCACACCATACTGCCTATTAAAAGATCATAGAATGGGGTGGCACCTGTGGCTCAAAGGAGTAGGGCTCCAGCCCCATATGCTGGAGGTGGTAGGTTCAAACCCAGCCCTGGCCAAAAACTGCCAAAAAAAATCATAGAATGCCTGAACTCCATCTCTGATTCAAGGAATATGACTACTGTGCTAATTAGATAAGACATAGGAAACTAAAGTAATTAAAATCTTTAAAGTATATTCATAATATTTATAGCCAAATGTGTAAATAATCTATACTACAGATTCTATATTTCTATTTATTTTCAAGGATATGGTTTGTTGCAATAATCATTTCAGTATACATGATAGAAATCTGAGTAAGACCCACATAATTGACCTTCTACATATTTTTATTTTAAAACAAGGTGATACACTAGTCAAAAAATTGCACATAACATTTATATAATTTCATGACACTTTCTAGTATCATAATTCTTAATAAACAGAAAAATATTAAAAGTACCTTTCGTGCCAAGGGGATACTCAGTTCAGTGCACATACTGTTTAAACTCTTCAAAATTCTTTTTTCCCAACTTCCCTGAAACAAAAGGGACAATCTATTGTTTCTGGTTAATAAAACCTAAACTAATAAAAACTACTAAATATATTATGAGTTACACACAGAAACAGTAAAGCTGGTTGAGATTAGTTATTCTTATTCATGAGTTCACTCAACAAATATTGATTATTGCCTCCCATGTGCCAGATACTATCCTTAGTGCTGTGAACCAAGCAGTAAATAACAGCAAGTCTCAGTCCTCAAAGAACTTATATTTCAGTTGAGAATAGGAATGAGGCTAAGCCAAAAAATAAGTCAGCAAGTCATATGGTAATAAACAGTATATGGAAAAATAGCATATAATAAAAAGGTAAATTATATTAAATATAAGTATTTTATAAATATTTAATAATACTTTGTAAATATTCAAATCCCATTAATTACACCGTAAAAGATAAAAATATACAAAAATTATACTGTAATTTTTCCAAACATGACATTTCACTCCTAAATACTTCAGCATGCATATTAGAATAAAGAACATCTCCTATGTACCACAATACGAATACTACACCTAAGAAAATTGATATTTCATAATACCATCTAATGTCCATATTTAAAATTTTGCAGTTGTCCCCAAAATATATTTTATATTTTTAAATTCAGGATCTATTCAAAATTCATGAATTACATTCCATTTGGTTGTTATGTCTCTTTCAGTTGAAGAGTCCAGGCCAGTTATCTTTTAGAATGTGTCGCAATTTTGATTTGTCCTACTATTTTTCACAGTTTTATTTTCCTTCTTGTCTATCCCCTCTATTTCTTGTAAACTGGAAATTATAAATTAATTTTAATAGTCACAGATTTGATTATCCACATATGCCACATTTTAATATACTATTCTTTTCAATTCAAAGCTAAAATTCCATAATTTTTTTTCTTTCTACTAAAATATGGCTATAGGCCACTTTCAGCTCACTGAACCTAAAAGAAAATAATGCCAAAGTTCCGAAATTCAGACCCAGTGAGGAGAAAAGTAGAGAACTATGTATTACTCATGAAGGACAGTTCTAATGATCTAATGAAAGGGGAATAATAATAGCTCTTTTATATGGATGTCACATGTATAAAAAGTAAAGACACTAATACATGTAAACTGCTTCAAATAGTAGTATAATAGGATGATGATAATAATCATTCAGTAATTAATTTACTACAGCTGTCATTATTTTAGCTTCTGCTTTAATATGCATACTTAAATATATTATTCTCATTACCTAGAATACGCTCTTCATACTCTACTCCCACCCCTAACATTCTTTTCAGAGTGGTGGGTTAATTTCAGAATATTACAGCATACATGTATTTTGTTTACATGCCTAGTTTGGGGTTTTTTCCCCACAAATTGAGTCAAGGTTGTGCACATGCCCCCCATCCAGACAGTGGGCACCATTCCCAGTAGGTGTAAATTTCCCAGCTTGACATCACTGAGATTTACTTCCATATGAGAACTTAAGTGTTGACACCCCCAACATTCTTATTCCTACTCAAGCTAAATAAATATTATTTGCCCTTTAAGGTATTAGCTTAAATATCCCTTCCTCAAGGGAAGAAGAAACATGTCTCACCCGGTCCTCCAACCCAGCGAGCACGAGGTGCCTGTGCTTACAGGTTCTCATGGCACCCCATCCGTCACCTCTTAGGACACGTATCACACTTTGTCCAGCATATAACAGATGCTCAATGATTTAAAATATTTCTACGCTAAGTAATGCTACATTTTTATAACTTTTAATGCACTGGCCTAAGCAATGAATAATTCATCTGTAGGAAAAAATATAGAGCTGTGTAAAATGCAGGCTTCGTTTACCAAATATGTAGAAATACATTTTCAAGAATAAAGGAATACTCTAAATAAATTACATGAACTAACCCCAAAACTAATTCCATTTACTGGCTTATTTTCAATTAGCTTCTTTTACTACAAATAGTTCTCTTAGAACCAAGACTTGTTTGGTACCCTTTAGATCCCTTATTAATGATCAAATTTTAATTATAATAATACCTTTCATCCCAAGATCCTTACACCACTCTATTTGGATAAATCTTGCTCACCTTTCAAGTCTCAGCTGAGATACCACTTCCTCTAATAAGCCTTCTAACACCTGCTCCCTCCATTCCAAAATGTGAAGGGAGTAGGTAAGACAAAGCTTATTGAACAAAAAATCCTCTCCCTTCCAGTGAACAATTATAATAAAAATAAAATTTGCATAAATGTTAAAAATGCAATTCCTGAAATTTTGTTATTTATTCTATTAATATTATATAAGGAACCAAATTGCAAGCTAGCAAATTATGGTTACAAATATTCTCATTTTCAGTAACTCACAACAATGGCTCTAGAATTAATAAAAAGAGATTAACTCTCAGACAAAAAAACAGTTAAAGTTACAATAGAAATCAATGTGTGGCTGATATCAGGACTGACCCTTGAACAGAGGCATGAACTGTGTAGGTCCACTTACATACACATTTTCTCACTAAATATACTGGAAAATTTGGGGAGATTTGCAATAATTTGAAAAACCTCATGGACAAACCATGTAGCTAAAGAAATATCAAAAAAATAAGAAAAAGTTAGGGGTGTCATGAATGCATATAATATACATAGATGCTAATAGTCTATTTTATAATTTCCAGCATAAAGTATACACAAATCTATTTTTAAAAGTTAAAATTTATCAAAATTTACAAACACACAGACCATACACAGTGCCATGCATAGCTCAAAGAAATGTAAACAAAGATACAGTATTAAATCATAATTGCAAAAATTTAACTATAGTACATATTGTACCTCGGTAAAATTTCACAGCAACCATTGTTGCTATTGTCATGAGCTTGAGTCTTTCAGTATCACCTTAAAACACCCTGTAAAGCTAATGATCTCCACGTGAACAGTTTTCACTCCAGTAAATTGAGTAGCACAGTAAAGAAATGCTCCCTTATAGCTCTCACATGTTTTTCATCACGCTGCATGCAATACTGTGAACCTTGAATCGCCATGGGGCCCACACAATGTGTCGGTAGTGAGGCTTAAGTGTTCCTAAGAAGTGGAGAAAAATTATGACATTACAAGAAAAAGCTGAATTGCTTGACATGCACCATAGATTGAGGTCTGAAGCTGTGGTTTCCCGCTATTTTAAGATAAATGAATCCAGACTAAGAACCATTGTAAAAAAAAAAAAAAAAAGAAAGAAAGAAAGAAAGAAAGGAAAGGAAATTTATGAGGCTACTGCTGCAGCTATGCCACTAGGCATGAAAACCGTGCACTTTTTTTGAAATATCTTTTCATCTAGCACTGAAAATGCAGCTTTTATGTGAGTGCAGGATTGCTGTAACAAAGGCACCTACCTATAGAGTCTACCAGGATTCAAGAAAGAGCAAAGTCATCATAGGACAACTTAAAGCAAAAAGAAGGTGAAGGATCTAAAGCTGAAGAATTGAACTCCAGCAAAAGATGGTTAATAATTTTAGAAAGAGGTTTGGCTTAAAAATGTCAAGATAACAGGAGAAGCAGCTTCTGCAGACCAGGAATCTAAAGCTAACTTCCCAGATGCCATTAAGAAAATCATTGAGGACAAAGAATATCTTCCCAAATAGGTTTTCAATGCAGAAGAAAGTGCCCTATTGTGGGGAGGGGGGGTTGCGGGGGGAATGCCACAAAGGACGTTTATTAGTAAGGAAGGGAAATAAATACTAGGATTTACGGCATGAAGGGACAGGATAGTGTGACTCTGTTTTGTGCAAATGCAGTCAGGTTTATGATTGGGACTATAAAGCCGCTAACCCCTGAGCCTTGAGGCTGCCAGTCTGACAGCCTGGACAAATGAGAACCCCTTTTCTGGATTGGGTTCATTGATGCTTTGTTTCTGAAGTCAGGAAGTACCCTGCCAGTAAAGGATTAACTTTTAAGTTCTCTAGATATTGGATAATGCCCCAACCCCCTAGAACCCCATGAGTCCAACACCAAAGGTGTTGAAATGGTCTACCTGCCCCCAAACACATTGTCTCTGATTCAGCCTCTAGGTTAGGGGTTCATAAGGACCTTGAAGCTTCATTGCACACAGTATTCTGTGGAAAGGATTGTGAACACTAGGGAAGAGAACCCTGACAGAGAGAACATCATGAAAGTCAGGAAGAAATACACCACTGATGATGCCATTGCTCTTCTGAAAAAAGCCATGAAAGCTATCAACTCAAAACAATGAATTCCTGTTGGAGACAAGGGTGTCCAGATGCTGTAAATTCTGAGGATTTACAACAGAGCCAATCAATAAAATCATGAAGGAGATTGTGGATAATGCAAGAAAGGTAGGGGGTAAAGAGTTTCAAGATATGGATCTTGGAGAAATTCAAGAGTTCATCATAGACACCACACCAGAGGAACGAAGAGAAGATGACTCAATAGAGATGAAGGCTTCTGAACCAGCACCAGGCAATGAGGTGTAGAAGAGGCAGTACCAGAACACAGATTGACATAAGACAACCTGGCAGAAGGGTTGTGACTATTTAAGGCTTCTTTTGACTTCTTTACAACATGGAGCCTCCTGTGACACAGGCACTGAAACAAGCAAATGGAAGAAGAAGGACTGATACCGTACACACAGACTAACAGAAACATTCTTAGAAAAATGAGACAGCAAAGCAGAAATTATGATGTATTTCTATAAAATAATACCAAGTACGCCTGCCTCTCCTGCCTTGTGTACCCAGCAAGATGAACCCTCTTCCTCCTCAGCCTACTCACTGATGAGGATGAAGACCTTCATGATCATCCACTTCCACTTAATGAGTGATAAATAATACTTTTTTTCTTCTTCTTAATAACATTTTTTACTCTAGCTCACTGTATTGTAAGAACACAGTATATAATACATACAACATACAAAATATGTGTTAATCAACTGTTTATGTTATCAGTAAGGCTTCAGATCAACAGCAGGCTATTAGTAATCAAGTTTAGGGGGAGTCAAAAG